GTGGTTCTTTTGGTGTCTTCTGTTTTTCAAAATATCTATTCGTTATTATTGAGTTATGAATAAAACAAAATCCTATGAATAATTTTTGCCATCATTGTAAATAGAAACGAGCATCATATCATCAAAGCAAAGTAGTTGTTCGTTTATTTTATCAAAAATAATGAGGACAACTTTCTTCTTTTAAATATCCGTCATTTCTTTGTATCATTGTGTTGTTTAGTAATTATCAATTAAACCCTATTTTTTTTGTCATTTTCTCCGACGTTCATATCACGCACATCCGATAATTCTAAAAAAAGGAATTCGAGAGTCGTCATTTCTTTACTTCTCTCGTTTCATGCTGATGCTCTCTCGTTAAAATAGAATAACAATTGTGACGGATTAGTGTGCAAATTCAAAACAAAGATGGTAGCATGGATTATTTCATTTCTTGGCTTCTTATCACAGCAATTGGCTATATATTTGGGAATTTTGATGTTCATCGCCGGTGTAATTGGTGGACTTCTGACGATCGTTGTTTTTCTCAGTCTGCACACTTTTCGCGAAAGTTCATGTGCATTCTATTTGCTTATCATGTCAATTTTCAATGTTGGAAATTTATTCACTGGTCTACTCTCTCGCATACTGATTACCGGTTTTGGTATCGACTGGACATTGAGTTCTCCATTTTATTGTGCCTTCAGATGGTATTGTCTTTACTTTAGTGTCTTGATCTCTTTCACAATGATTTCTTTGGCGACCATTGATCAATATTTGGTTACTTGTTCTCGTCCTGGTTGGCAACAATGGAGCAACATCAAACTTGCCCATCGTCTGTCCGTAGCAGTGATCATTTTTTGGGTTCTTCTTGGAATTCCTTATATGATTTATTTTAATTTAATTGAACAATCTATAACACATAAAATAATTTGTACAAGTATCAATGCTGCTTTTCTTCAATATCATATTTATGTTTATATAATATCTCTTGCCGGTGCTGTACCAGTAATTACTACCGTCCTCTTCGGATGTTTGGCATATCGTAATGTCCAACAATTGGCTCATCGAGCTTTGCCATTGGTTCGTCGTGAATTGGACAAACAATTGACAACAATGGTTCTTGCCCAAGTTGTTCACAATTTCTTTACAACAATACCGTATACGATTGTTACTGCTATCATTTACAGTCCCATTCTCCCGAAGGATCCAATTATTATCGCACAACTTCAATTTACCAATATTATAACTATCTATTTGTATTATCTAAATTATGTGGTGAGTATTGTTCACTGATCAGACGGTCTGAAAATGTTTTTTTTTCCTCACGTATTTTTAGAGTCCATTCTATATTTATCTCAGTGCATCCGAACGATTTCGTCATCAACTAATTTATGTTCTATTCGAAATTCATCTTAAACGATGGCGACGACGAGAAGTTAATGTTGATCAAGTGGGCTCACCATGTTGATAGATGTCAATGAATGATTTTCATTTGAAATAACAGACCTTTTCATATTGATTATTAAGACATCGTTTTTAAAGAGAAATTATCTTGAACTGGAAATGACCGTATTAATTAAAAGCGTTTGCCTATCCCACTAGACTTTGCACTATGGAAAGTCTTTTGATGGCAATATATCAGGCGTCAAATTGAAGGATGCATCTGTTCAAAAAATCTTGATGCTTAAAATGTTCTTCGTTTCCTATGAGCTAACAAAGATTTATCGAATCTAGTATTGGCTTTCTAAGTTTTTTCCTTGTTCAATTGGCAAAATTGTGGAAAAGAAAAGGTGTGCAGTCCTATTGAGATCTTATTCAAATAAATTTGAAAGATTTCTTTCTGTGCTAGCAATATACACGTTGGAGACTCTTGAAAAATGAGAGAAGAATATTGAAAAACGTATTATTTATAATTAGTTGTTTTCTCGTTTTATTGTACGAAAGAGTTTTAAATAGTGTTCAATATATTTTGCCAAGAGATGTGATGTACGATAATTTCCAGACTTCGCAGCGATCCTTCTTTGCCCTTATTTTTTTCGTTTTATATGAATCGTCTTTCAGATATATGGAAAAACAGGATAGAAATATCTAGTTGAACACCAATACAAATATAGGATTCATGAAGCTCCAGACAATATTCTATTAACTTGAATCCAATGAAAACTTCGTTGCACTTAGCATAAAATACGTTTGTGAGATTTCAATGACGAAACAGCCGAGGGTAAATATTTATAACGTCGATATAGTCCTACAAATGTCTGTAAATGATCTTTCGTCGCGTATCAATACTCGATGGAGATTTTTCCTAAGTAGATAAAGGGAGCATAGTTTTGACTATAGTGTCATTTGTGATGAGCAATAGTGGAACCGAGGAGCAGTACTTGTGAGGAAGTATGCAGATGTCATGTTTAAATTCAGCTACATTCGACTCAAACTCAACTATTAATAGAAGAAGTGTTTATGAATACTGCATGTGAGTGCGGATGTCTAGGTGTCGTTATTGTTGTAGAGAACATCCACATTCTTAGGAATAAACTTCAATAAAAAGAGTTAATCCATCTTTAAAAAAAATTTGATTTCATCTATTTCCCCGTTATAATGAGTCGATCTGTTCGCTTATGCGTTGTCGCCCTTTGGATGAGTTTTGTTTTCTTTTAGATTTTATTCATCAAGCATTTAATTTGAAATATTCTTAACGTTTATCGAGATAAATTCAATTAATTGTTAGCCGTTAAAAAACGAATCGAATAGATCCAATTTAGATTTTTGCTTGAATATTTTTAATAATCATTCGAATTTGTAAAACATGATAATAAATCTTAGCTGCTTTCTCATAATATTTAAGTGCTTGACGAAAATCTCCTTTATCGTAATAAATATTTGCAATATTTTCCAATGTTATTGACATAAGTGAATGTTTAAGTGGAAGAATACTTTCATAAGTTTTTAATAATCGATTACAATATTCTAATGCAAGATCATATTCAGTTAGATGATGATAAACTAAACTAACATTATTATAAGACAAAGCTAAATTAATATTATTATCAACATTATGTTTTTCATAACTAGATAATGCTTTTTTATATAAATTAAGAGCTTCTTGATATTGTTGTTGATTTTTACGAACCATTGCCATATTATTATAGCATTCTGCTAGACGTGGATGATCATCGCCATATTTTCGTTGAAGAATTTGAAATGCTTTTTCATAAGATTCTAATGCTCGATTATAATCATTATTAGTAAGATGCAGTGAAGCAATTGAATTATGCCTAGATACTATATGTAGATCATTGGGATCAAATAATTTCTTTTTAATTACAAGTGATTTTTCATACCATTTTAAACTTGAACTATATTGATGTGTTTCTGATAGAATATATTCAAGTGCGTCATAACATATAGTAATATCTGCATTATCATCAGACATTTGAAGAATTAAATAATTATAATATATGTGAGCTTGATCAAATTTTTTTCTGTCAATTATTAATTGACCAAATGAAATAAAATCAAATTGATCCGATAGTTTTAATATATTTAAATCTTGTTCATTTTGACTACATAATTTTAATTGAATATTAATAAATGAATTATTATCATGTTGAATATTAATTATTCGAGAGTATGGATGTGGGTGTGAGTGTGGGTGAGGATATGTGAGAAATGAAATAAGAAATAAACCCACAACCACAACCACACCCACACCCACACACCCACACTCCCCTCCGTCCAGAAATGTCCGTTTTTCGCTGATTCCCTCCTCTTCTTCCTGAGCGTTCTTTATGCATTATCATTTTCGTGAAATAACTTCTCAGCAATAAAATTGCTCGTGCTGTATTAGAAAAGTGCATTACTCTTTTACCGAGGTTGAGGCCAGTGCGACGGGATAAACAGGGCCACTTCCAGCCTGTAACAGAAGCGCTGCAATAACTGTTAACGTCCAGCCAGAGTCAACTATATCATCAACCAGCAGCACGCTACCTGTAGACACAAGTTGAGTGATACGAAACACTCCATCGAGATTTCGGCATTGATGAAAGCGATTTTGCTGTTCCTTTTGTGGCTGGTTGGCACGTATTTTATGAACAGCATCGACAAATGGCAGACCGAGTTTTGTGGCTAAACGCCTGGCGAAGTCAGGAACCAAATCCGGATGATTAAGCGATGGTACGCAGCAAACCCAGGTCGGAAAATTGTGCGGCTTCCAGCGCTTCGTAATCATTTCGACCACGGCATCAACCAGTTCACTTCGGAAGTGTTTATCGCGCTTATCATGAGCAACCGTTTTACCCCAGCCATCGTCGCCCCAGCGTGATAATACTCGTCCTTCCTGAGCTTGTAGATGCGCACGTAGATTTCCCCTGAATCCATACTCAATAAACGCCTTAGCTGCGACCTGCTTATTTGGGATAATAGGCACTTCTGCGTGTCGCAGAAAAATAGCGGCTCGGTGCACCATCAGCGGGTCAGTCTCCGTATCAACGATCGGTTTTTTCACGCAAGACGCACATTTTCCACAGGCTGTTTGATCTGTATCATCCAGTGCATTGCACAGGTATCTCATTAAACAGGATTGGCTGGTGACATACTGCAGAATCTCCGCCCACTCCTGCTCTCGCTGCTGCGTCAGATGGGCCATACGTTGTTGGTGCATATGGAAAGCGACGGCTGTTCTATGCCATTGATTTCCGACATTTTTTATGGGAGCAGGACTTTCCACGCTCAACAGCTTCAAAACTTTCTCTATTTGCCCGTAGCGAAGATTTGTATGTGTCACTATTTCACGCAGCGTCAACCCATTGTTCTGTGTCAATGCCTGCAGGATTTCGTTAACCTGCTCCAGCGGAGGAAAAGCCAAACGGCGGAAATATGCATGAATATCTTCATCTTCCGTGCCACACATCAGTATACCAACAGCATTGTCGATGGCTCGACCTGCGCGCCCTACCTGCTGATAGTAGGCGACGATTGACCCAGGGGTCTGGTAGTGGATGACAAAGTCTAAGTCTGGTTTGTCATAGCCCATACCTAATGCCGTCGTGGCAACTAATACTTTTAATTTATTATGTAATAACAACTCTTCAAGATGCTGACGGTAAGCATTGCTATTAGTAAAATCTGGGTGGCAAATATTGGCGTGGTAAGCTGCAGTTTGGATGCCATTTTGGCTGAGCCAAATGGCAACCTGCTCAGCATCGTGCGTGGTTAATGTATATATAATACCTGTGCCTGATAACCCTGGAATAGTTTGCGCCAACCAAGCTAATCGAGACGCCTGATCGATTAACACAATATTTTGCAGAGCCAGACTTTCACGAATAAGCGATCCACGCCGAATATGGATATTCCCTAGCTGTGCACGTATATCTTCAATCACTCTGTTATTAGCTGTGGCCGTGGTGCCTAACACTGGCGTATTGATCGGCAGCTGATGTAGAATGTTAACGATACGACGGTAGTCCGGGCGAAAATCATGTCCCCAATCTGAGATACAGTGAGCCTCATCCACCACCATCAAAGCAATTCGATTGGAGATAGGTTGTAACACGGTTACCACAAAATCATTGTTGGCCAGTCGTTCGGGAGAAATGAGTAAGCAATCAGCTTGATTGGCCAATAGCTGCTGTGCCGTCTCCTGCCAGTCATCCCGATTAGTCGAGTTCATTGTCATCGCATTAATGTTTAAACGTCTAGCCGACTCAATTTGGTTACGCATCAAAGCCAGTAAAGGTGAAACAATAATCGTTGGTCCCATGCCCCAGTCACGAAAAATACGGGCGCTGATAAAGTACACCAAGCTTTTTCCCCAACCGGTACGCTGTACAACCAGTAACTTCTGCCGGTGATTCACCAGCGCATCAATAGCATCCCATTGCCCATCACGAAAGTAGGTTTCTGGATTGTTTAATGCTACTCTTAGTAGGTCTGTTGCTTGTACATAATCAATAGAGTTCATTCCCTGAAATAGTCATTAAACAAAGAGTTCTGCATTTATCATTACCTGTTAAATGAAATAGTGACTGTGACCACTTTTGCAATAACTCAAGAATAGAAAGAGCTAGAGTATTACCAGTCGAAAGAAGTGGTATTGGAGCGTCTTTTCCTCCACTATTATATACGACGAAACCATTTTAAAATCAATCATTTCCTAAAAACATTGCAAAATTTCCGTGAAAACGGGCTGTTATCTTAATAAAATTTTTGCTTTGATATGTGTTTTAGATCGATGTTTCATGAAAACGGTTGATTTGAAAATGATTTCGTCTTCCACAATATAGGAGAAAAAGGCGTCTTGATGTTTCTCCTGAGAAAGTCATGTTTGTAAAGAGTGTTTGATAAGTTTTGGATCCGTTTTGGTTTTGCTATTTTTTTCGAATACTCAAAGTTGAACAGATACTCAAAATTAACGTCCAAGGTCTGACTGGGAATTTTTTCATTCAATAACTGTTATTAGTAGAAGAGTGCATTATTGGAAAATACATTTTCAATATTAAAATAATTGTATCAGGTGTCTTTTATTGGGTTAAATTATAAACTAGGTTTGAACATCAGATTTTTATATACAAAGGACAAATGTATAATACTGAAAAGTAAAAAACAAACCTGATAAAAATAGTTTGGTATGTTTTTCAATGACGCACTTATCTAGTAGGAATATCAATTGACCCCGATAAATTTTAAGTGGTTAATCAGAAATGGGGAACTGCAACTCCTGAGTTAGCTCTTTTTGCCAGAGGAATTGGAGTAGAATTAGAGTTGAACTTATTCATTAATAGATGGAGTTGGAGTTAATACATTTTTATCAACTTCGAGTCCACCCCTATCGACCTGGAATCTTGTCCAGTGAAAATGAAAAAAATCAAGAATGAAATACCGATTTTAAAAGCAGTTGCAAAAGGGTTCAATGTTTTAACACAAGATCGAGTGCAGCATGTTTTTTACGGTGCTATTCTAGCTAGGTTTTCAAAAAAACTAAAGTTGAAGCTGAAATAATCGAGGAGTTGAAGTTGAAGTGGGATTTGGGAAAAGCGGCATGGAGTTGTGTGAAGTTGGAGTTGGAGTTGGCAGTGTCGGAGCTGCCCATATCTGGTGACAACATAGAGGTTACTCTTTAAAAATATATCCTCAATGTCTGTCTGATTTTGAGAGTGGCCAAAATAAATAAAAATTTAAACGAATAGAAAACTTGTAAAAAATCGTATATACAATCAAAACTTACTAATAGTTACGGGTGACACAAAAGTTCCCGGAAAAAGATCCCATCATTTTTCGCCGATTAAAACATACTTTGGAAAAATTACAAACATCTACACAAAAGATTGACATTATTGATAATGTTCATTCGCTTCAGATATACATGGATTACCCATGTCAGAATCAAAATTTCAATGTAAGCACTAAAAATTAAAAGACTGCCCTATATTTGCTTATTTGTCTGTAGATATCGATCTGTTGATTATATTCTATCTTAATTATCTATACAAGGAAAAAATGTGATAAGTTGAAAATGTTATGCTATACATTAATATAAATGAGCAAGATATCAAGAGAATCGGTTACTACTATGACAGAAAAGAAAAATCATACGATCATTCGAATAGATGACTAGGTGAATGATCAACTATGATGAATGAAAAGTTCCATAAAATCACATAAAGATAAAAGAACATATCAGAACTGAATAGAAAAAAGAAAAAACAGTGTATTTGAATGTATTGATAAACGAATGAGTCATAAGAAGTACTTCTATACAATAGAGACATTTTCATAGAATGGCAATGTAATTCTATAAGAGCTGTACAAAACCAATATACTCGACATGATAAATTATTTTGCCGTGATCACGTCTCATGAAAGCTAAAACTACGTCAACAAGTGATACTTACGCATTATCCTAGTGTATTTTTTAACAAAACACACCAAACAATATCAATAGTTCATAACAGAGAGTTGTTCTGACTAATACTACGAGTGATCAAAAGATGTCAGGTCATGCAAGAGGGCAGACTTGGAAGAGTAGAGTAAAATTTGGTATCTATTCAAAAGATTAGTGATGTCATTTACCGTTTACTTTACAATAAATATAAATTATGAGAAATTTATATTTATTATAAATATAATTTTTTTTTTTTTTTCGTAATTTATCGAACATAAATTAAAATAAATTATCAAATTTCTGTATGATAATTTACATAAGCAACATCATAATGTTAATATTATGTTTAGGTGTAAAATATTCGCTATACTCTCTTTTCATTTAATTAATAATTCTTAATTTTAGAAAGGATCTCAGCACTTATTTTGATGAGTCTTTTCAAAGAAGAATCAGTTCAGATATTATGAATTAGGAAAATGGAGAACTTTATAACGTGTCAATGGCAAGCTTAAAACATTTTTTGAGAACTAATCATCTATCAGAAATCACAG